TAATCCCAGTGATATAACTTAGGAACATATGCGGAAATCCATTAATATTTCAGGAGGGGCTAACATTATTAACATAAATTTGAGTGGGGGGGGCTTCGATCCCATACAGCTAATATAGGAGGGAGCTTGACGGACTTTTGGAGAGGCTAATCCCCCGTAAGCTCTCCCCCCTCGATCTCTGCCTATGCTTAGGTACTTACCAACTTTTCTAGCATTTCTATAATATTTATCTATTTAAACCATGTATTTTAATTTTTAACTAAGTGTCTAAGTACTTATAGACTTATAGTAGCTTACAATTTTACATGTAGGTATTTATAGGTACTACAATATTATGCCCACTATATTTAGACGTATATAATATAATATAGACAAATATAGAAATATAGAATATACAGTTACTTGCTATACCTAAACTTTACTTAGGTAATATTCATGACATATACTAATAGTAATTATTAATAATGTATTCAGGGTAGTCACTGTTGGTGGAGAGGGGTCTATAGGTCCAGACACCCCTCGAAATTTTTTAAAAATATAAAATTTTAGGGTTGAATATTTATTATTGACTATTGTATTAAGAATAATTTTATATTTTAGTTAAAGCAGTATACCCAATAACGAGAATAAATAATTTTTATATTTTGAACGTAAAAATGAATTGTTAAATGGCCTAGGGGGCCTCCCCCTATATACGCCACTGATAAAGTTATAAATTATAATATATCATATTATACATATTTATATACCTCTGTTTATTACTTATTACACGTCCTATGTATACGGATATAGGTATATACTGCGCACGTGCAGACGTGCAGTTGAGTATAAAGGTATATATATTAAGCCACCTATATATAAAGTAGACTAATTTTATTTCTTATGGTTTAAAAAAATATTTTACTTTATATTCATATCTACACGTTTAGAGTTTAAATAATACATATTACATTTTACAAATTAAAATAGGTACACACGAATTGCGCATCTTCCTTCGAGCGGCTATTAGGTGTGTAATGACGCATTGGAAAGGGGGAGGTGAATAAATGATAGTTATAGAATGAAAAATAAAATTACATGCACTATGCGCCATGCCGTAGATAATAAATATTATCATTATTGCTGTGAGTCAAAAAATCTTGAATATTGTAGTTTGTAATTATGGGCGTAATTAGGATATTGCCTATACAACTGGGTTTAAAGAAAATCGCATAGAGGGCTTTCCCTCCACACCCCCTCATGATTATTATTACAATTTTCTGACCTCAAATTATGTAAATAAAAATAGTAGGTACCTATAATACAATCTATTACCTCAAAATTATTTATTAAATTTCAAAACATTTAATATAAACATTACACGTTTGGGATATATATTAATATTGATACTTACTCCATGTTAGCTATTAATTATAATTGAATACAATACTTTTTATAGTTGCAGCGATTTGCAAATTAATATGAAACCGCCTTTGACAGAAAACATTTTTCTTAGATTTCTATAATTATCAACCATAATCTATGTTATTGTAACTAAGTCACTTTTAATCTTAGATCATAATATACTATTGTTTAATATATGATATAAGCCTTTAAGGGGACGTTACAGTGACATTTGTTGTCCCCGCCTTACAAGCGCGTAACATACCAAATGTTACGCTCAGCAGAACACATTTATCTCCGTAAGTTTAAAAATTAGAGCGAATTGAGCTCCTATAAAATTTAAAGGTAAGACTATTATCTAGACAACGATATAGGCTTTTTATTATTTTTTGATTTTAAAGCGAGTTATGTGTATTTTAAAATTGTAAACTGTTTGTACATCTTAAAATACTCATAACTCGCTTTAAAATTAAAATACTATAAAAATCCTATGTCATTGTCTAGATAATATTCTTACCTTTAAATTGTATAATAGGTCAATTCGCTCTAATTTTTTAACTAACGGAGATAAATGTGTTCTGCTAAGCACTGTTACGCACTTGTAAGACAGAGACAACAAATGGAAATGTAGCGTCCCCTTAACTGTACATGATAAATCTTTTCCGATATTAAAGAAGTCGCCAAATATATCGCATGTACTTTAGTAGATATCTACCTATAGGATATAACCTATCATTATAGACTATAGTAGTCCTTATATAAGTTGTATCTTTCTCATGTACGAAAAAGATCGTTCACTGACAGGAAAAATCGTGGGTGGAGGGACGACAGGAGATTTCTCGGTGGCTTGGAATCATTCATGTTCATGGTCTGACTACTTATATAAATCCATTTTTTTTGGATAAATTTTCCTGGCCAGCCAATTTTTATACAATTACGCGGTCTGAAATATTATCCCAAAACAATTATAGTTGTATAATATTATGTTCTAATAATGTATGCGAGAAATTTTTAAGGACTAAAATACTTTTCGCCTTAGGGGTAGGAGAGTCTCCCACTTGATGATAGTGTAGTACATCGTTCAGTAGCGTATCTAGGATTTTTTCAAGGGGGGATATACAATTTTTAATAGACATTCAGTATACATATCAAATATCTATATTATAATATTATAGTATATACATATATATACACGTTTATTATGTACATGTTGTATATTGTGTACAAAATTTGGTCTCCGGGATACTCCACTGACATCGATGAGTTTTGCTCTGTCTAGCGAATACCACAATACATAATAATGAAATAATATATGCCGAAATGACGCCACTATTACAGTAGTACGTTTTACCTGTGCGGTTACGTTGCGCGTACCTACACATCCGCATAGATTTATAATAATAATAATAATAATAATATGTATTATTATTAAAATAATGGTCGTCGTGTCTGGTGTCTGTCGCAGTCCACAATAAATAAATAATAAAACGCCGGTGGTGGTGGTGCCGTGGTGGTGGTTGCGACGCGGCCAGTGCTGCGCGTGTGTGTGTGTGTGTGGTGCACCGGTCGCCGAGAGACCTGTTGGGGGGCATTGTTCAAAACAGCTTCAAGGTCGTTTAGACTATACAATCCCGAAGAGATTTGGCAATGCCGCTTTTGTGGCTGCGACGATGGCCGGCCCCGAACGAATACATAACACATACCTATCTACTATGATGATGATAATAATAATAATAAAAATATGATAAAAATGATAAAATTTGAATATATTTTGATATAGGTATATAGCCATCGCCGAACCGTGTCCCCCGCAGACGTACATAATATGTTATACGACACTTCACAGTTCACACCTATTAAAGCTTGATAGAAACGTCCGTGTATCACGGCGATGTACATTCCGTAAATATAAATATAAAAATTAAATATTTATAGTTTAAAAGAGTGATAAATGTAAACTCGTACAATTTTTCGTAGGTACCTATTGCCAGGGACTAAAATAAGGAATCCACATCATATTTTTTTATGAATTATCTAAAAACAAATAAACGAGATGGGCATCTTTGAAAGTCATACAGGAGTTCTCCTGGTCGATTCTAGGATGTTTCCCTCCCGTTTCCCCTCCCACCACCGATTCGATCAACGTTTCCCCCTGGACAAAAAAATTAAAGTTTAATTATTAAATTATTATTATTGTTTATTAAACAATAATATACAAAGCAATTCAATAAAATATGTACAAATGAGTAAATTAATACCCTAATTGATATATAAATATAATTAAATAGATAATAATTAATAACTAATAAATCCATAACTTGAATGATGATAGTCGATAGATGCTGTCATGCTGATATGATGATCGTATATTTCAGGTAAAACCAAAGAACATATTTTCCAACCTATTATTATAATTTATAATATTATATGGAGAAATATATATTGATTCAGGGGGGAACATCCAAATACGCTCCTAGTCATGGGTGTTTCCTATAAGGTTAAAATTCTGGGGGAGGGTTACAGGCAGTACTGCAGCCCTTGCACCAATACTGAACTTACAGAAACCACACCCCATCACATATATATAATATTATATACTATAATATAGTATACTACGTTATTACTTATTACCATCAGGCAACAGTAATTTTATATTCTGAGTAACGCAATATTGGTCTGGTCTTACACAGATTTATATTTTCTCAATATGGTCGTGGCACTATTGTGACATTCGTGAGCCAAGTAAGCCAAAAGCAATCATAGAAATGGTCTACCTAAAATTCTATACACCCACCACGCCCCACTGTATTATCACCTAACAGTTGTTTTTTTTTAATCAATTTATTTACCTACCGGTTGCACCAGAATAACATAAAAAATAAATAATACTTAATGTCAACTATTTTTGAGAGGGCTAAATCCTAGTCACGGGGTGCTGGTCGTAAGCCCTAGCTGCACCACTGCTCCTGCCCCCTGGTATCCGTATCCACGCTAGAATTATGTGCTTACGAAGTACGAGGAAAGCGAAATGACAGGGCCCCAGGCAACCCGCGTCCATACATCGTCACTCACGGAGTGGTCCGCGCGAATTATTATCAAAAAAAAAATCACCGTGTCGTCAGTGCCGCTATCAGCTGCGGTGATTCATATTTCAGTGATTGAGCGAGCGAGCGGTGTTTTTGTAATATTGTCCCCCGCCATCACGTCCCGAGAAACAGTGGGGCGCAAGCGCGTTCAACACTTCGACCGTGTGTGCGCAACCGAAAGACCGAGAGAGCGAGTGCTGAGTGCGTCTATGTGTGTGTGTGTGTGTGTGTGTGTGTGTGTGTGTGTGAGCGTGTGTGTGGGTACGTGTACGTGAGAGTGTGTGTGCGCGCGTATGTACGCGAAGTGTCTCGTGCGAGGCCGTCCGCGCTTATCTCGTCAAAGGTTGTTGTTCTGTCCGTTTCGTCCGTCAACGGTAACCACGTACGACATAAAAAATAATCGCAGTCTGAGTTCCGGTGCAGTCGGTCCGCCGTTTATTTTTTTTTACAAACACCCGTGTATCCGGCGATTTCCGTGCGCCGATAACATATATGTTTTGAACGGACCGGAACGGACGCCCCGAACCAACGATGGAAGCCACCGCCAAGCACGACTTCAAAGCCACGGCGCCCGACGAACTGAGCTTCAAAAAGGGTAGCTTGCTCAGGGTGAGTGTGTTTGGTGTGTAAGGGGGTCTGAGTGGTGGGTGAATGTGGCCAGTTTGGATGATCGGGGACTGCTTTTGTGCCACCACCAGGTACCTGCCACTGTGCAAGGCACCTGACCGATTCAAATTGTATTTTTCCAGGTGATTAACATGGAAGACGACGTCAATTGGTTTCGGGCTGAGTTCGAGGGCAAAGAGGGACTGATACCTAGCAATTATATAGAAATGAAAAATCATGAGTGAGTGACGCCACTTTGGATTCCTGTGTCTTTATAATAATATCATTCATGCCTAGGTGTTACTAATGTTTGCTGTTCCTTGTTTGTTTGTAGTTGGTACTATGGAAAAATCACTCGAGCAGACGCCGAGAAATTATTAGACCAACAGCCTGAGGGTTGTTTTCTGGTACGAATAAGTGAGAGTTCACCTGGAGATTTTTCATTATCCGTCAAGTGAGCAAAGTTATTCCATGATATAATAAGAATTACCACCTATAGTATTTGCAAACATTTCTGTATTTTGTCCTTGAAATTCATCAATAATAATTTGAATTTTTAATAATGTAATACCTAGATGTGGTGATGGTGTTCAACATTTCAAAGTTTTACGAGATGCACAGGCAAAATTCTTCCTGTGGGTGGTTAAATTTGATAGTTTAAATGAACTAGTTGATTATCATCGAGAATCATCTGTGTCTCGTTCACAAGATGTTAGGCTTAGGGACATGCCAGCAGCAACTCAAAATGGATTTAACCAAAAACCGGTATTTATTATTTATTCCTATGATATATCAATCGAGTCAGTTGTAGGTACATATTATTAATAAATAATAAATATGCGTTTTGCGGTTTTACAGACGCTGGTAATTGGAATGTATGACTTTACACCTCAAGAAGATGGAGAATTAGCATTTAAGCGAGGAGATGTTATAACTGTGACAAATCGCACTGATGTAAATTGGTGGCGAGGTGAGATTGGCACCAGAGAAGGACTGTTTCCAGCTGCGTATGTTTCTCCTTATCATGCCCCTTAATCTACAGTGTTCTTCATTATGTTGGAAGTATTTACTACTATATGGAACGTATATTTACTGCGGTAGAGAACATGTGACCACAAAATAGACTTAACAATTCTAGATTTTTCCCTCGGGATCAAATATTTATTGCAATAAAAAAAAGTCAATAATTATTTAAATACTTAAATCTGTTTAGGTTTTCCAAGTTTTGTTATTAATTAATTCAATGATATATTAACTTAATTTTTTTTGCTTATCCATTAATTTTTGTTTGTTATTATGTACAAGGTTAATACACTATGAATCAAAATAATAAAATGTTACCTACCATTCAAACTTAACAATTGTTTTAAAAAGGTATTTTTTACTATTTAGAATATACATAAAAACCATTTGGATACGTGATAACCATTGAGTAAGAACCATTAGTTTTCATGTTCGATAAATCGTTGTTGCTCAAAACGTGATCGAGTGTAAATTACATTTTTTTTAAAATGAAAATGAAAATTTTATGTAACATAATTTATGGTTTTTTCCTTTGATAAATGTTAGCATGTGGAAACTATGTTGTGGTTTAAACGTGCAAACATTCACCAAGTGAAATAATTTAATAATTATGAAGCAATAAAAATATAAAATTAAAAAAAAATCTTAGGAGGACGCTACCCATCCATTGTCTCTGTCTTACACATGTATGACAGAAAATGTTCATTCATTAGTCTCAATGGTGTGTTGTTGTTAGTTTTTATGTTATACTGAATAGACATATTATCAAAATTTAGGTAAGAATATTATCTGTATTCTGTGCTTCAGCGTCAACTTTTATTCAATATTTTAATTTTCAAGCTATGTATGACCTTTTTAATTTGTGATATTTCACACACCCATATTATTGAAAATTATTACGAGGACGCCACACCAGCATGTGTTGTCTCCATCTTACAAACGCGTAATATACCACTTTACGCTCAGAAACTCAAGTCTTATGCCGTTAGCTTAAAAATTAGAGTGAATCGACCTATTATGAAACTTGATGGTAAGAACATTATATGTGTTTTGTTAGAAGCTTTTTTTTCGATAATTCAGTTTTCAAGTGAGTTATGAGTATTTTTAATTTACATTTATTATACACGCTATAACTCACTTAAAAACTGAATTATCGTAAAAAAAACTTCCAATAAAACACAGATAATGTTCTTACCATTGAGTTTCTTAATAGGTCGATCACTCTAATTTTTAAGCCAACAGCATGAAACTTGAATTTCTGAGCTTAAATTTGGTATGTTATGCGTTTGTAAGACGAGATAACACAGCAGGTGTGGCGTCCTCTTAAGCACAGATAATATTCTTAACTATATGTTTGATATTAGGTGAATTCACTCTAATGTGGGGCATGAATTACAAGAGTGAACCACGCTTTGGCCGCATGATCCAAGCGTAATACAATCAAACATGTTTGATTTTCAGCCTTGAGATACAAACAAAGGTAGCGTGGCACACCCCGATTCGCCCCCCGTGAGAATCCCGCATAATGTCAAAACTAACACCACACAATTAAAATTAGTGAGTGAAGTTAGTGTGTAGTACGCTTGTAAGATGGAGACAACAAACACATGGGTAGTGTCTTCTAAATAATTTAAATGTTCACTTGATCATTTTTTGCATGAAGACGACAAAATGTTCATTGATTTATAGATCTTTTTATGGAATTTATAATTTTGATTTATATGTATGAGGTTTTTGCTCACATGCTTATAGTGTATATCCATGCATTTAAACCATAAACATTGCTTTGATAACCCGCTATTATTTATAATATACGATAATAGTTCTCAATATCATGGTTAATAGCTAAGACATTAAAATAATACCAATGAATAATAAGTCAATAAGCAGAAATATAGGTTAATTTTTCGTAAAAATTAAATTTGCAATAAAACAGTATCCCTTTTTTCTTCCAAACATCAATTATTATTTTTTATTTTAATTCTTAAATTTGTATGAAAGTTCAATTTAGTGAAATCTGTCTAAAATGTATGTTATTAACAAATTGTTATGAAATTGGTTCTTTATCTCAATTAATATTGTATTTGTTAATTAAATAAATTTGTATTTATCATTTAATTTTAGATAGATTTCACTTAAATCATTTGTGTATACTATTATATTTAAATTAGGAATATTAAATTTAGTACAAGTTGATGATTTGTTCTGTGTTTTTTTTTTACCGTTTATACTGTCAGTTCTTTATGGAATTAAATTTATAAATATAATATGATGTAAACTATATTTTTTAATGATTTCATTTAAATAAGGAAATATATTTTATCAAATGTATTTCCATGTTAATGTTTTATTTTTTATTTTTAAGTTGAATACACAAGTATAACGACATTTAGAAACACAGAACTTTTATGTTTTTTTTCTTACAATTTATGAAAATCGCTCAATTCCTTTATCTGTACCTAATAATTGTTTTTTAATATTTGAAATATTTCAAAAAAATATCTGTTTAGTTGTTTATTTGTTGAACTTGACTTGTACTTGGATCAATTATTATATATTGTGCTTAACAAACTTTCAGTCATATCGAACAATTATTTTAGTTTTGATTTTAAATTAAACAATACAATGTCAATTTGTGATATAAAATAATATTAAAACTCCTTACTTTACCTATCTTATATATTTCTTTGTTGTAGATTGAGATTATTTGTTTTTTTACTAATTTGTCTATACTTAAGTATAAATTCTTCCTGACATATTCATAAAAGGTAAGACTCTATTGTTAATTGCCTACACATGAATATTTTCATCGCATACTATGATATAATTTTTTTTTTTTTGTACTAGGTACTTATAGATATTTTATTTTTATTATTTATTTAAGTAAAATAAATTGTGAAATAATATATATGTTAGTCATAGTGATTAAAGACTCTAATAGTATGAAATAGTGAAATAATTAATCTATTATATATAAATACGTACATGTATTAAATAACTAATTAAGTGTCTTTTTCCTTATCTTATACATATATTAAATTAAAAATATTTTTGTGCCACGATCAATATTATATTATTTTATATTGTAAATAGTTACACTGCAATAATTCATAAATCATTTTACCTATATAAATAATTTTCTTTTTCAGTAATGCCTTCCTTATCTGTTGGATATTGAGTTAAAGTAAGAAGTAAATTTAATTATCAACCATTATCAATGGAAGTAATAAATACTTAAAGCTCTTATTAATCTAAGTAAACTATTGAAAAATCAAAAAGATAATTTCAATATATATTTTTGCTTTAGTTTTAGTAACTTTATTTCAGAGGACAAAAAACTTGTATACTTGGTACTTTATAGGGGATCAAAAGTAAAATATTCCCAATCATTTTCAAAAGCGTCTGGAAAAAAAAAACAAAAAAAGGTAGGTAAGTGGATGTTGACAATAGGTTACAAGCAGTGACATAGCCAGAATTTCATAATAATTAATAAATAATTTGTTTAACCTTATTATTTCATAATTATTTATATGGGTGCTGATTCATTTAATATAGTTGTTTCTCCGAATTGTAAAATCGGTTGAAAATCTGAAAATAATGTAATTTCAAATAGTAGAATATAAAACATTATGATTATGTATCAACACAATTATGTAATATTTCATTATATTAAATTGGTGAATTATATAGAGAACTTGCTTACTATTGGAATATTTGTTGACCATATTCAACGACGTTTGGGCTTCTGAAAATTAAAAATTTGGTTTTAACATAGTATTAGGAGGTATAAGTTAGATAAAATTGATTTTATACACAGATTTAGTTATGAAGTTTTTGTAATTTCGTTTATTGGTATTCATAATATTATAAGATACAACGTCTGGACTATTATAGGTACCTACTTACTTATTGGTAGACTTCGTGTTATTGCAATTTATTTATTTATTTTTGACATAGTTTGATTCACATTACATAACTTTATTTTATAGAAACCTTAGTGAAGTGATCAACCTATTTTTATCGTATTGTGAGTAGGTTATATGTATGTAGGTAGTATGTATCAATACTCACTCAATATATTCATCCCATACGACGATGATACGAACATTGCAGCTACTACAAAAATAATGTAAAGCCACGTTTTCTTAAATCCAATCATTATTGCTATTATTAGTTGCTATAAAATAAATACATCAATTAATTTTTCGATAACTTATTATAACCAAGATTATTACAGGCTTTGAAAAAAATACTGTTATAAATTCACGACTTAATGCACAACTTCTTTAGTATGGTAAATCAACTTAATAGTTAAGATAAAATAAAATAGTACCTATATTATTATATTATTAATACATGTATATTACTAAAATTTAGTAGATACAAAACCATTAAATGTTTCTAAGCAATAGAATTTTTATTTACCTTTACCCCAAATAGTCAAATGATTTATGTTCTTTTAACAATTAATAAATAATATAGGTGTGGTTCGAGTGAATACTGCAAGAGCACAGACAAACACAACTACCTAGTATTTTACGTACCATTCCTAATACATTTTTATGCAACACTTACTTAATTGTAAATATGAATCGTTTGTATTTACTAACTAAACGATTTCAGTTAATATGTTCATATGGCCACCAAGGCACAAGACTTGAATTTTCTTCGGGCCTCTTATTTTTCACCATACATTTATAATATTCTAATTAATATTAAGTACTTATTAAATATTGTACTCAAAAGAAAATACAATATACCTTTAAGTTAGTGTTGGGGAAGTTACTTATTTTTGGTAATTAAATTATATTACTAATTACTTATCAAAATTGTAACTAAATTATTTTTAAGTTACTTTTTTTTAATTTGGTTAAGTTACATTACTTTTGAGTTTAAAAAGTAACTGAATTACAATAGCAGTTACTTTTTTTCAAAAATATCACTGGAGATTAATAATCATGTTGTCAATATAACAATACATTAACTAAATAGGTAATGACAATCAAACATAT